AGGGGGTGTTATTCAACCTTGTATTTTAATTGATTTGGATGTATTTCAAAATCTAGCGTTATTTAATGATGTATTTTAAAAACCACAATAAAATCTGCTGTTATTGGATTTAACATTTGTTGGATGTATTTTAAAGTATTTTAAAACAAGCGTTATTCAATTTTCAATGGATTTTGTTTTCTTTAAGATTTTAATGTATTTTACATCTAAAACACGTACAAACACAATCCTAACATTTTTCAAAGTATTTCATCTCTTTCATACCAAATCCATCTTAATTGTATTTAAAGGCTATTGAACTTTAAAATTCACTCGTAATTAAAATCCCTTAAAATTCTCCATCCAATAACACCCCTTTAGTTGTATTCTATTTATATTACTCCAAATGGTGTTATTTTGTGCGTCGTGGGGATGACCTTTAATTTACTCACACACATACAAGCATCAACTTTCTCCACTCTCCTACTGTACGATTTTTTGTTTTATTTAATACAAAAAAAATAAAAAATTTAGAACAAGAGGATATATATTGACCTCACTCAAAAGCGGAATTACATTTAGATACTGTAGAGGAAAGTTCTAGAATATATCAGATTTAATCGTAGCAGTTCAAGCCTTGGCATCCTCATCGACGATCAGAGGATCGTGTTTTTTGTTCTTGCAGGATCGTGGTCTAAACGGCCTTGTTTTCTCTCCTCTCTTTGCACGTTTGTTGAAAGTGAAAACACGCGCTGGTATCTCTCTGACTTCATTTGGGCTTTTGTCAGATGATGTCTACAAACGGGCATTTTTTTTTCTCTGTAAATTTTATCTTCTTAAGAAACATGAAAATAAAATAAACTGTGTTTATTGACCTTTTTAACCGGTACATCTTTTGTTTCTTCTCCAGTTCTTTCTCCATTGCTAATGGATTCTATCTGTAAACACACTTGTAAAATGAACTTATTAATCTAATGGACTCTATATGTAGATAGAAGATACTTGAAACAATATGTATTTTCTTTTCACAACAAGAGATTTGTGATGTAAAGCCATCTCCAAAGGCAAGTACTTAACAAAAATTATACAGGTTCTAAAGGTTTAGTTGATTAAAAATAAATCAATATATCATAAAATGTGAAGGGGCGATGCTTAATGAAGGGGTTTATACACTCTTAAAGACACGTGTCCCATTTTAATTGGTTTGCTATTATAAAGAAAGGAAAAAAAAGGGTTCTCGCGTTTGTCTCTCTCACAAAAGCTTTTTGTTCTTCTGTTTTTATCGAGAGAAGGCACAGATAAAGGTGATTTCAACGTCTTTTGATTTCGTCGGAGTTTTGAGTATAATCGGAGATCTATCGAGGTTCGGGCGCCGTTATACCATCTCTACTGTCGACGGTGAAAATCGGGTATATTTGGGTCATAAAGGCAAAGATTCATCTGTGGAGAATCAACGTGTTTGTTCTCAAAATCGGAACCGCTTAGTTTCGATGTCTTCTAGTTCTGAAACATGGAGATATAGAGGTAGTCGCAGAGATTTGGATAATTCTCTTACAAATCATGAAGGAATTTAGTAAATTCGGTGTGCTTGAATCCGTGAGTATACACTTTGTGTCCATTGTTTATGTGTTTCTTATAGCTTAAATATGAGCAATAATGCTGAAACAAATCAATGGCATTTCATTTCGGTTTTTATGTTTTTGTGTTTAATGGTTTATGAAGTTCGAATGAGAGTCATGTAATGATTCTCTGAGATGGACGGAAGCTAAGCTGTCACCAGATGAGATTTTGAGAAACCAATAAGTAACTTATAGTTCTGATTGTCTCTAAATAGTAGTTATCAATGTATTAAGATTTAAGAATTCTTAAGTGGCCGGTATTGACATTTTCCATGTTGCAGATTCTTGAAGTGGTAAGTATAGCTTGAGTAATGGCTTTGATATTGCATATTCGTATGAAGGAGAAGATTCATTGAAGAGTAAGTGGAATTATACTTGCCTTTATGTTTGTTTTTTCTCATCTTTGGTGCTTTGATTCCATTGTGTAGACTATAGTGTCTTGCTAATAGAGAACATTTAGGCTAAAATAATCGTTTATTTGTTCTTGCAGAAAAGAGAGTTCTAATTATTGTACCTCCAAACAATATCCAAGGAAGCAATACAAGACAAAGTAATATCTGCACATTGTCAGCCACGAAGACATGCTTATGCTAATTGTCATCAAATACAGATCATTTGATGCAATGTATCTGTTTTAGCTAGCTTTATCTTCTGTTGGATTCAATGTTTATAACTAAATAAAAAATTTATTTTTAATAACCTCATACATGGTAATTTTAATGAAAATTTAATGTTTTATTGATGGTTATTAAGAGAACCGCCTCCTAAACAAGAGGCTTTTGTACTGGGAAGAGATGTGAGGTGGCGCGCTACGATTGGATGCTGAGTAAAATATTGAAAAAACATATTGTTTCTCTTCTCTCTCTCTTTTCTTTCTCTTCTCTCGGTCTTGCGATGCTCTGCGACGGGAGTAAGACGATGGTCAGTGAAATCGATTCCGGCGAGCTTCTTGCAATTAAGCAGGCCAATTTGTAAATCAGGCAAGTTTAAGTTTCATCTTCTTTGAAGGCTGAGACAATTAAACCTAAAATTTCTCTATTTATTTGCTAAAATTTCTCTATTTCTCTCTTAAACCTAAAGGGTTGAGTTTGTTTTGAAATTTTTTGGTGATGGGTTTGTTTAGGGAGGAGAAGTGGTGGATAACGAAGAGGTGATTCATGCTTTAGGGGATGTGTTTCTTCACCCCGAGTGTACAATTGCGTCAGTTTTGGATAATTTCATGAAGGAAGGTATTAGTGTGATTGATTTTTATGTTCAGCGTGGACAAAGGTTGGAGCTTCATGAGTGTGCTTGCTTGGCCTTCAGTCGTGCCCTCCATTTGAATTCTTCTTTGCTAGGGTAAGATGACTCTTTACTTTTTGTGAAGCTAGAAAGAATATATAAGAACTTTGGGAGTTAGTTGTTCCCTCTTTTCGATTTTGTATCCTCTTTCTTTTCTTTTGTTGAGAAGAAGCAAGCTTAGAATTTGTTTTGTTGCATTGGTTTGATTTGTGTATTGGTTTGATTTAGTGTATTGTTTTGTTGGATTGGTTTGATTTAGTGTATTTTTGAGAAGAAGCAAGCTTAGAATTTTGATTTCGTTCAAGTAAAAGCTTTTCTCGTTTTTGCCTGCTTTTTGGGTTATGGCATCATAGTTAGTTTTGGTTAGATGTCTACACATGTAGTTATCAGGTTTTATATATGTGATCTCAATATTTTCTCTGCTTTTAATCCCAAAAATGCCTTCTAGGGAAATAAGAGACGGGTGGATATGAAACTTCAGAGTGATGTAGGATATGATGTGCAAAAGCAACGAACTATAACCACTGCTGTCCTAAGATTGGTGTTTGCTCTAACCTCATTGGTTGAGACCTCTGAATTTTTTGAGGTCAGCTGTGTTTCTTTAGATGACCTTTTCTTTATGATCTTTTCATTGCTAATTTAAAACTCTATTCCATATTGATTGGCCTGGTTCAGTGAGCATGACTTGCCGTTTAAACACTATCTTCCAAATTTGGAAGATACAAACCTGTTTTGAAAATTTGTAACTACTATTCTCGTATGTGCGTTTTCGTTAGTGTATGTTTCCTTGCACTGTCAACTGAATGTAGTACATATTGTCTAGAGGATTTCAATCAACTTCAGTACTCGAGTTTATACATTGGCTGATGCATTTAGAAGATTTAACTTGGTGTTGTATGAGTTGATCTATGTAACTTGGTATTGATTTGGAATTAATCAACATAAAATGCAATCACTAATTTTTTTTTTAAATTATTAAATTAAAAAAAAGAAATTCAAGAACCTTTAGGTTCTTACCATTGTAACACAATAAATATAAAAACTCCATCACAAACTCTTCATCTCAATTTTTTCAAAATTTATATTAAAAAAATTGCAAAAAACCCACAATGGGTCCCATTGTGGTTGCTCTAACGTCGTTTATGTAGCGATACTTGAAGAAATTACGTAAAGATAGAAAAAAGAAGCGACTTAACGTCATTTATTAAACCGACGGTAATCTATTAAACCAATTTTTAGGTTTACCCTTCCTGCTTTCCAAACAGAGTTCTTCTTCTTCCATACATCACACAAAATCTCTCAAAATCGAAATCGCAGAACTCAAATTAGTCATGGGGGATTTCGTTTTCTACTTCTTTGACTATCTTGAGACCTTTTCTCCAGTCTCAATCTTCATATTCGATAGGTTCTTCACCATGTAATAGGCTTCACAGCTAGCAGTAAGAGGTATGCCTCATGGTGCGCAGTTATCAGAATCATCTCTCTAATTGATTTCAGTTTTGCGAATTGTACGCTTCTCCAATAGCTCAGCAAGGTTTGGGCGATTCTAACAATTGCTTTCAGTTTTCGTTGAAGGATGTAGACTTGTAATGGATTCGTGAAGAATTTTGATGTAGCGAAAGTCAAAGCTTAGAGAAATTGAAGGTAATCTTCGGCTGAACCTAAGTTTAATTCGATCTCTATAACAAGTTTCAGTAAACGAAGTTCTTATCTTTTTTGAATCTATGGTGAATTGGTAAGAAGAGAATTCATAAGAATTTGACCGCTACACTTGGTTCTTTTAATCTGAATTTTCTTCCTTTTGTTTGTCTAAAATGAGCAATGATGTCTTTGGATAAGAGTTGTTGTAAAGAATGAATTGAATGATCTATACAATGTTCTTGAGAATCTACATTATGTGTAAGTTATTATAGTCTTTGCTATGTCAATTCTTGTTCTGCAATCTGTAACCAATTCTTGATACGATTAGAAGTTATGAGAAGATTAATCCCCCAGCTGCACTTGGAGAACTCAACTCCCTGTGAATCTCTACAGATTCACATTGATTCTTTTGTTTCATATTGAAATTCTTAGTGTTTTGTTCTTTTGAATTTTCAGACAGTTGAACAAGAACAATCTTCTAGGAACTTTTCATTGAAGCGAAAGTAAGATTTCATCATTGTAATTTTTTTGTCTTGAATCCCTTGTGCGTCCCAAATTGTGAAATGTTTATCAATAGCTTTCCAGGTTCAAAGAAAATCAATATTTAGTGTAGACAGACAAGTTGAGATCCTTGAGGATGTTAATGGAAGTGGCTTATTTCTAGAGAGATTACTTGATGAATTCAAGAAAACACCATATACTATACAAAATCAATAAAATATCATATAAAAATAACGAATATATTAAGGGATATAGAAATTAAACTGTGATCTTAGTCTAAACAAAACATGCATTAGAGGTAGAAAGCAGTGATTTATTCAAGTGTGTATGTACATGATGAGACTCTCACTCTGATCCCGTATGCATCACGTTAGAAAGACGCTCACTCTGATCCATCAACATCACTGTAACGGTCAATTTGGCCTTGCTAAACCAGTGTTCAGGTACACCTTTGATTTCCATCTTTTTCATATCATTTCTTTGAAGATCATAAGAGAGAATGTGAAAGGGAGAAATCAAACCATGTGGTATCAAGAAAATTTTGCCATTTTGAGTTGTACCTTTGACTTTGTATCTAATGTTGTTATTGACTAAATACAGCTGAGAAGGATGCAAAACCAGAGTCCTTCTCGACCATTTATTGCTCCCGGCATCTTCCACAGTCCATAAATCCAGTCTACCTTTTTCTCTAAGATCGGTTTGGACAATGAGAGTTACTTTGCCACCATACTCTATAAGACTCACATTTTCGACCCTTCCAGGCAGCTCATCTCCGTCCCTGCGAGGTACTTTTATCATTTTAAAGTCTCCGGATCTAATGTGGAAACTCACAAGCACAGAATTATACGAATCAGTCCAACCCAGGTAATATATAACACCATCGATACACACTCCTCCTCTGGTCGGGATGTGAGGATGAAAGTCATCTGGACACGTTGGAGCAGCCGTTTTCCAAAATCCTCTCCCTTCAGATTTTAGGACAAAGACCCGATGCTCTGACCTCATCTCTTGAAAATTTCTCAATCTGACACCAGTTGAGCATACCACTATGTACTGGTCGCTAACATGGTCGTGTCCAAAATAGTAAGAGACGATTTTATTTTCTTCTGGAGGTATGGCGGTGGGGAAGGTGACAAGTTGTCTGGTAGCAGGGTTATAGATCCGCGGCAATCCCCAAGAGGTGTAACATATGAAGCCAGGAAGATATTGCAAGATGTAGCATCCCAGACGTGGGATGGTCAGATCGTTGTCAACTACAAAGCAAGAAGACTTAATGTCTGGAGCCAATGATAGTATTGCGGAGTTATGGCTGTCATTGAGATCCTTCAAACACATGTAAAGTCGAGGACGCGATCGAGACGGGACCGTGTGGAAACGGTTGCTGAAATATCGTGAGCTGATTAGGGATGACCAAAGTTTTGAGACGCACTTGAATCTCATAAGGGATTTAGCAGGCAGTCTCGTAAGGATCTCCTCCGTCACCACATCCATAGAAGGAATTCTCATCTCCGGTCGTCTTCTTCTCTTCATCCTCATAATACAGCGAAGTCGTGGTTTAGGGTTTGCAAAATATATTGTAGATACTAAATAGTATAATATATTATGGAGAGTATATTTAAGCAAAATATCTTTTATTATAATAAAGAAATTTAATAGTTTCAAGTTAAGAATTAAAACTGCTATTTTTTCGTTTATTCGAGCTATACTAATACCATTACCAATATGTAAAGTATAATCTATACTATAATAGATAAGGGTCCGCGTAATTAAAATTTATGTTTTTACGTTTGCACTAAAAATATTGCATGTCTTAAAATTTAGAAAATCAATACACTAAAAAAATTTAACCAATATTAATTGAATATCATATTTTATAATATAGATTTGGGCCCGTGTAATAGACGGTCTATTTATTTTAAAAATAAAATTAAAACTAAAATTTTATTGTAAGAATGTTATATCCAAAGTATTCAGAAAAAGATAATTTATTAAGTTACTAAATTCTTTTTGGTTGAACAAAATTATTTATGTATCATAAATATATAAAAATCGTTATTAAACATTCATTATAAAAATCTAGTAATGTTACATTATCGATCACCAAAACAATTATGAAATATTCACAATTTTTCATAACATTACTATTACCAAATTTATCAAAACACTTAATTTAGATATTATACTCTAAACATGATTATACCCTTATCCTAAAAAATCTTATTTCCTAACTTCCAATTTTTGTTTTACAAAATCATTCTCGCATATTTTTTTTACTTTGCAATTTATTTTATTTTTAAACTTAATTAATTATACAAAATTTGATGGGAAAATTCTTACAAATTAACATCAATCCAAAAAAATGCGTTATAGTGTCGTTGAGATAAGCATTATTATTTTTTAAAATATGAAAGTATACAAAATTACATATTTGGAGAACATAATATTTAAAAAATCATTATACTACGAATTATATTGACTTTTATTATCCTTATTTTAAGTTAACAATGTCTTTTTTTAAGTTTTCTTTTATTCACCCTTCTTGTTTTAGCCAATGAGATTGCTCTATGACATATTACATTTCAATATAAATTAAAAATTAAACAATTATAACATATTAAAAAAAAAGTAAAAAAAACAAAGAAAAAAGAAAAGGCTTAAGTACTTCTTTTCTAACTAGAGGGTTTCAACTTTAGTAGAAAAGCTTTTCATAACCAGGAATTTTTATGTTTTCGCCGGATTCGTGAGAGATTTATCTGTTTTTTTAAAGATTTTTGAATATCTTTGAGTATCTTTTGAAGATTTTACCCTAGTTCTAAGTGTTCTTGAGCGCAGCCGGTGTTTACTTCTCTCCATCGACACCTTGAATTTTTCTTGTGCGATTGTGAGTGATTGGTTAACTGATGGAGTATGCTCTTGATAAGGCGTTGCAAGAGATGTCATTGGAGGAGGATACACCGATTGTTTTACAGAATTTGCCCGAGTTCAGTTCTTGTGTTCGTAACAAATGCAGTATCATTGGCAAGTTGTTGTGTCCGGAAAATCAGAAGATGTCCAACTTGATCCATGAGATGCCTCGCCTTTGGCGAGTGTATAATAGGGCTAGAGGAATAGCTCTTTCCAACGATCAGTTCCAATTTATTTTCGATTCTGAAACAGAATTGCAAACTGTGCTTAATGCTGGTGCATGGACATTTAACGATTGGAGTCTGACATTGGAGAGATGGGTGGAGAAGCCACCAGATGATTATTTGAAAGTGCTACCAATTTGGATCTGGCTGCGTAATATTCCAGTTAATCATAACACAGCGGATACTATCAAGGCGATTGTAGCACATATTGGACAAGTCACGGATGTGGCTTTTGATCCATTGAAACCGCGAAGCAAAGGCTATGTTCGGGTCAGAGTTTTATTTGATGTGAGGAGACCCCTGAAGAATTCTCGTCTGCTTCAAATTCCGTCAGGTGAACAAGTTACCATTGGTGTGGAGTATGAACGAATTCGTCGCCGCTGCTATCAGTGCCAAAGGTTAACACATGATAAGGAACGGTGCCCTCTCAATCCCTCGAACCGGCAATGTATTGCTACGGTAGGGGGAAAAGTGCTTCCACCATTCCAAGTCGTTTGATTCCAAGAATAAGCAAAGATGACCCTCAGTTTGGAGTTTTAACAGATGATGATGTAGGGATTGATCCAGTTTCCGGAAAACCAAAAATTGCCAAAGCTGTCTTAGACGAGATGCGTTAATACCTCTCTGTGAATGACCCTCAACTTCGTAAAATTCATATGGAGAGAGTAAGGAAGTCGGTATGGGACTTGGAAGGAGATCCTAATGGACAACAGACGTTGTTACGACTTGAAAAGCCTACAAAATTTACAACAGATGTAAACAAGGGACGAGGTTTGGTGTTTGATTTTGAAGAGGTAAGCTCCACGGCCAATTCTGGGGATGACATTGTTGAAGCTGTTCGGTCTGGAAAAGCAATGACGCGACTCCCTCATCCTGTGTGCTCCCTCTCGGCTACTTTTGCTACAGCCTCTGCAAATGAGTATTACTCTACGGATTTAAGACCAAGCTTTTCTGCTGGTTCTACCGGAGCAAAACCAAAATACTTTCAGAAGCGAAAACGACCAAATAAGTGGAGAAGACAGGCCCAAAAGGTGAAGGAAACAAAAGCTAATGGCCAAAATAATCAAAGAGAAGAGACTAACGAGGCTAATTCAGCTAAAAGGAAGGCTACAGAGGAAGTTATGATTACATCAAAGCTTGCTAAGCGCATTGAGGAAGAGGTGGTTCCGCATGAGGAACCGCCGAATCATTAATGAGCTTTGTGAGCTGGAATTGTCAAGGTTTGGGGGGCAACTTGACAATTCCTATGCTGAGGAAAATGCGTCGTGAACATTTTCCGGACTTTTTGTTCCTCCTGGAGACTAAAAACTCCAGTAATCACGTTTTGGCAGTACAACAATCTTTAGGATATGATCATGCGCATGTGGTGGATCCGGTGGGTCTGAGTGGAGGCTTGGCTCTGTTTTGGAAGTCTTCTTATGTGGTTGATGTCCTTCGTGCTGATTCTCGCATCATTGACATCTTCGTCACACTCGGCTCTATATCCTTTTTTGTTTCTTGTGTCTATGGAGATCCAGCTGCACATCGTCGTCAAGAAGTTTGGGATAACTTAATAAGTTTGGGTGTGTCCAGAGATGAGCCTTGGTTAGTTTTGGGAGACCTTAATGAGATTACTAATAATTCTGAAAAGCTAGGTGGACCAGCACGGGCAGAATCATCTTTCTTTTCATTTCGGAATATGATAAGTGATTGTCGTTTACGGGAAGTTCCTAGTATTGGTAATCATCTATCTTGGGCAGGAGAACGTAATCGAGTTTGGGTGCAGTGTAAGTTGGATAGAGCTCTTGGAAATGCAGCATGGTTTCAACTATTTCCCCGAGTTCAAGCTGAATACTTGGAAAGGATTGGCTCTGATCATCGTCCTCTCATTACCCGTTTTGTCAATGAAAGTACATCTCAGCGAGGCCGGTTCTTATTTCAGAAGAGGTGGACTAATAAACCGGAATTTGCTGAGGTGATAAGGGAAGGCTGGACTAGAAGCGAGGGTACTGATCATGTATCTATTTTGAGTCGCATTGCAAATTTTCGTCGGTCTATCTCTGTTTGGAAAAAGGACACTAATCAAAATTCCAAGGAGCGGATCACCAAGTTAATATTTGATTTAGAGGAGGAAGGAGCTAAATTAATTCCGGATCTTCAGTTATGAGGAGTCTACGGTTTGAATTAGCAGAAGCTTATCGCGAAGAGGAGCTCTATTGGAAACAATTAAGTAAAGAGAAGTGGCTAGGTGAAGGTGATCAAACTACTCGATTTTTCCATGGGAGTGTGCAGAGAAGAAGAGCTCAAAACAAAATTTTATCTCTCAAGGATGATTCGGGTGTTGAACAGTTTTCTGAAGGCTCCAAAGGTGATATTGCTGTTGACTATTTTCAGAACCTGTTCTCAAGTACAAAGCCGGCTCACATATCTGAAGCTTTAGAAGGGCTGCTACCACGAGTGACTTCTCAGATGAATGACGGGTTACTCAAGCCTGTTACGAGTGAAGAGATACGACGAGCAGCCTTTGATATCAGAGGTGACAGCACCCCGGGTGCTGATGGCATGTCAGGCTGTTTTTATCAGACCTATTGGGATATAGTTGGTCCTCAAGTTATATCAGAGGTTAAACAATTCTTTGAGTCTGGATCATTACCAGCCGAATGGAACTTTACTCAAATTTGTTTGATTTCAGACAACATTCTACTAGCACATGAGTTGGTGCATGCGTTAAACTCGAATGCACAGTGTGATGAGGAGTTTATGGCAATCAAGACCGACAAGTCTAAAGCATATGATAGAGTAGAGTGGTCCTTCTTGGAAGAATTATTGATCAGGCTTGGTTTTGATATCCGATGGGTTAAATGGATAATGAGCTGCGTCACTACGGTCTCTTATTCGGTTCTTATTAATGGTACTCCTTATGGTTTTATTAAACCAGAAAGAGGTCTACGGCAGGGAGATCCGCTGTCTCCTTTCTTGTTTATCCTATGTGCTGAAGCATTAGTGCACATTATGAATACAGCAGAATGTGAGGGAAGGTTGACAGGAATGAAACTTACCTCTTCTTGTCCGGCGATCCAACACTTGCTTTTTGCTAACGACAGTTTGTTTTTGTGCCAAGCTAACTTCAAGGAGTGTTCATCATTCTTACAGTGCCTTGAATTATATGGTAAAGCTTCTGGACAAGTGATTAATTTTCAGAAATCTTCGATAACTTTTGGGAAGCGGTTGGATCCTTATATGCGACGGCTCCTGGGATTATTTTCTGGTATTGAACAAGAGGGTGGAGCAGGGAAGTATTTGGGCCTCCCTGAATGTTTTAGTGGTTGAACGAGAGATATACTGAATTATGTTAATGATCGCTTGAAGTCAAGACTTAGTGGCTGGTTTGAAAAAACACTTTCTTTAGGGGGAAAGGAGGTGCTTTTAAAATCTGTAGCTATGGCGTTACCGGTTTATGCTATGTCGTGCTTTAAGCTGTCTAAGCATCAATGTAAACAGCTAAGGAGTGCTATGAGTCAGTTTTGGTGGAATGCTCAGGAGGGTAAACATAAAATGCATTGGGTCTCATGGGAGAAGATGTGTCAATCAAAGAAGTGTGGTGGTTTGGGCTTCCGAGATATTGGCCGGTTTAACCAAGCTCTTCTAGCAAAACAAGCATGGCGACTAGTGTCCGATCCCTCTTCTTTATTAGCAAGGTTTTATAAAGAGGTTTATTTTCCAAATAAACCTTTTCTTGAGGCTACAGTGGGACGTCGACCTTCTTATGCTTGGCGTAGCATTATTTTTGGTAGAGAACTGTTGGAAAAAGGGCTGATGAGATCCATTGGTGATGGAAGTAACACCTTTGTATGGATTGACAGGTGGATAGTGGATGACCCTTCGAGAAGACCCTGTAATAAAGAGCTTTTTATTGATGTGAGGCTACGAGTATCTTCTCTTATAACTGCTGCAGGAGATTGGAATGTTCATAGGCTAAATGAACTTTTTCCTTCAAGTGATGTTAGTAGAATATTCTCCTTTCCACCTGCTGTTCATCTTAAGGATAGCCACGTTTGGACATTTACGGCTGATGGTAACTACACTGTCAAAAGTGGTCATTGGCTACTTACTCGTGAGAGTGAGAAATTGAAAAAACCATCGGAGACCGATAGTTTAGTGAACAAGGTTAAAGAGCGGGTTTGGGGATTGCATACTGAACCTAAGATTAGAATGTTCTTGTGGAGAGTGCTATCTTTTGCGTTGGCTGTGACACAATGCTTACGAAGACATGGACTGTCGGTTCACTCCCTTTGTCAAGTGTGCAATATGGAGGAGGAAACGATATCGCATGTTTTATTTGGATGTTCTCTAGCCAGTCGAGTTTGGAGTACTATTTCTCCCTCATTACATGGACATGTGTTCACGGATGACATTGTTGGAATCATCACACATGTTTTTAACCTTTTGGAGAGTAATGAGCTCGCTTTGCAGTATAAGGTCGCAATGCCATGGATCTTTTGGGAAGTTTGGAAAGCTCGCAATGGTGTTATTTTTGCAGGTCAGGCGCAAGATCATCATATTGTGCTCGCCACCGCTGTAAACAATGCTGAAGAATGGGCCTCTCAACAGCATATTATTCGATCAGAGGTATCTATAGGTGCTAGTCGAGCTGGTTTTGGTGCGACGAGATGGTCTCGACCAGCTTTGGGAGTTTTGAAATGTAACATCCATTGTTCATGGGTGAATGACCGATCCTTATGTGGAGGAGCTTGGTTACTCCGGAATCATGAAGGCGAAGCTATGTTCTACGCAAGAGATGCTTTCCTTCCGCGAGTGAATAGGATTTCTGCTGAGCTAAGTTGCGTTCATTGGTGCTTGCAGAGTCTTAAGGATCTACATGTGAATTCTTGCGAGTTGTGGTCAGACTGTAGAGCAGCGATCTCCGCAGTTGAATCTCCTTTGCTTTGGCCTAAGTATCGGGCTCAACTAAAAAGAATTTCTGAGCTTTTACAGTCCATGGGAGAGGTGAAGTTTAAGTTGTCACATTTGAAAGCCAATTCTTTAGTTTCAGACATTGCAAAGAGTGTGACAAGAGATGGACGCCTCACTTCATATGTTGCTTTGGGCGGCCCGGCTTGGTTGTTGGATAGGATTGAGGAAGAACGTCGGGGTAGCGGTTGAGGCTTGGTGACTGGAATTTTTTAGTTTTTTACAAGTTCCTCTGCCTTTATCAATCATGTTCTTCTTTCCTTGACGTTGGTTTATTAATAAAGTTGCTGAAGTGTTTAAAAAAAAAAAAAAGTAAAAACATTTAATAAATAATTTTGTTTTGTTAAACCTATAATCTCGTTTAATTGTACAATCTAAATCTTAATCCTCTTTTATAAATTGAAACAGATAAATAACCTTGTATAAATTGTGTAATCTCTAAACTCTACTCCTTATTTATAAACCTAAAAATTGACATAAAACCTTGTTTAATTGTTAAATCTAAACCATAATCCTCATTTATAAAACCAGGCAACCATATAACATGTTTAGTTGTAAAAACTAAACTTTAATCCTTCTTTATAAACTAAATTGACATATAATCTCGTTTAATAGTAAATATTAAACCCTAATCTCTTTGATAAACCCAAACTGACATAACCAAAAATTAGGTTAACAATTTAATTATAAGTAAAAATTTCTGATTTGTTTTTGTCATTTTCTATTTTTATCTATATTTTTAAAGAATTAGATGTGTCTTATTCCGGCATCTAATGTTTTACTTCACATATATCACAATCACGTGAGTTAGTAACTCTGAAAACCAAGTTTTACATAATAAGAATTTTTGAATGAACGTTAAAAATCCATTATATTTAGGTATACTTTTATATAAATAACTTATGTAGAATTATTTTATGATAGGTTTATAAATTTAATTTAAAATATTCTAATATATCTTAAATTTACAAATGTCAATATCTTATCGGTACAATTGACACATATCACATTAATGACTACCTTATTTAGATTAACTTACTGAATAAAATATTTAAATATTACATAATACTCGCGATAATGAAAATATTTTCTAAGATTAACTTATAATTAACTAATTTATTGTATTTTTTTATTTGTTAATTTTTTTATTCCTTAGACCTAATTAATATTTATTATTTTTATTAATAATTTATTTTATAATTACTATCTTTTTTCTTTTAGGATTACTACTAAGTAATTGTTA